ATGACAAACACACAACATATACAGACTTGCACACCTCAATAAAACAATGTAAACTTTTTATTAAAATATTTTTTTCTAAATTTGAACTTGTTCTTTGGCGTGTTTCTGTCATCTTTGAGGCCGGGTTATGACAATTAATTCTAAATAAAATCCTCATCTTTCTGGTCAAATTGTTTCCTCTATGTATTGGGCTGTTGGCTCCCTTTTGTTCAGACAAACTTATCCTTGAGACACAACTGTCTTTAAATACCCTAAACCAAACACACACTACTTTCAGCTCTTAAAACTGTCAGATACAAAAAGCCATAAAGAATAACTTGTAGATGAGCACAATGATTGATTGTGTGGTTGACTCAATTATTGGCATTTTACATATTTTTGGTACAAACATCTTCCTAAATGTTTTTTAGAGGTGTTCATTTATTGGCTAAAACATATCCCGAAAAAAACTTGTTTAAATGTAAAAGTTTCATGTTTCCTCAAGACACCGTTCTGTTTTCCTTTATAGTTTAATCCCTAAAATGTCTTGATGGATATTCTGATAAAGACGGATACTCTCTGAACTTTGAAAATAGTGTTTTATTGTAATCCGTTTGGTTGACTTTAATGTGCTGGCTCCCCACAGTTCACTGGGCCAATTATCACCTGCGGTTTCACTTCAGATATGCTGTTTGCTTTTCAGCGTTACCAAATCTTGGCAATTATTTTGGTAATTATCTCCAAACTTCTAAATTTCAGTCACAACAAAGATAAGACCTTAAATTACACTTTCGTCTTAACCAATGTTTTGGTAGTGACTTGCTTTCTATTATATCTGCCATCGCTGTTCCCCATATTAGCTGATAAAAACAATGAATATATTAGCACTCATATTAGACTGGGTATTTCATTTTTTTATCCCTGTGAAAAGCTGTTTATTTTGCCATGCGAGACAGAGGATTTTCATAATGATTAATGCCAGTGTAGGGAAGAAGCAGAGTGAATTATGGCTTTTGGAAGTGCTCCACGTGAATGTGTGCGGGACGGTGGCCGAGTGGATAGCACTCTCGCTTCTGAGTTCGAATCCCGGTCGGACCAAGGCCTTTCTGAGTGGAGTTTACATGTTCTCCCCGTGTCTGCGCAGGTTTCCTTCGGGTGCTCCGGTTTCCCCTACCACTAAAAACATGCACAATATAGGTCTGAATGTAAAAGAGAGTGAATGGATGGTGTTGGGTCAGAGGCTTTGATGGTCCAGTGTGTTCTGGACTCGCTTCTGTCATCACCGTGTGTGGAAGGATTGGAACAATATCTGACTCTGAACATTGGAAAGTGCTTTGGGTCTGTACCCTGGGCTGTAACATGTGCTATATAAATAAACATTACTTACTTACTACTACTACTTCAAAGCATGGATTTTTTTTGATATCTGGATAGGATATTCAAAGCAAATCAATGTATTAGCTTTGGACGGTTCATCTGTTCTTCTGAAGTTAGTTTGTTACCAGACAAATAGCAATTATATTACCATGACTGGTTTCAATATTAGATTCAGCCACTCATGATGTGCTTTATCAGCTGATCTGAGGTTTTAGTCTACTATAAACTCTCACTGAAGTTACAATCCATCCATTATGTAAAGCATCATGGAGGTTTGTAGCTTTACCCTGCATGTTTAGTTGGTTTAGCAACTTTCTCAGACATAAACAATGAGGCATATGTGACAGTTACTAGAACCATAAGTGGAAAATTCATAGTATTCTTCAGATAGTGTGATATTTGCATGGGACAAACTGCAGACAAGAACTAAAATTAAGAGACATGCAGAATGACTTTGTAACACAGAGCATGGACATAAAAAGTTGTTAGAATGTATTTGGATGAGCCTTGAGAGAGAGGACCAACCAACATCTGAAATTAATGGTCAATTTGACTGTCTGGGGTTGTTGAGTGTGGTGTAGGTGAAGGCTGAAACGGAACATTGTGAATGTAAAGCTCTTTCAGCTTGCAGGAATAGTGTGAGGAATTTATGCTGATACTTTTTTGTGTACAAGTGGCATTTTTTGTGGCATGGATATACAGTAAATATTGACCGAAAACTGAAAATAAAAGGCTTGTTTTTTTTCCATACTATTATAATTATGCGTACAGTGTATCAGTGATGCCCATCTCTCTGGTATACGTTTTTCAGTACACACATTCCTCTTACAAAATATCACCCCCCAAGTTTATTGCAAACTAGATTTTCCAGTTTTTAGTTTAAGCAGTTAATCAGAAGGAACAATATACTGCTTTTCGTTTCGTAGTTACATCTGTTTTAGGTACACTCGGGTGCACTTTTCAAATGAGACATGAAAGGTGCTTGCATATATTACATATTTCTTTGCAAAATAAATGTAAAACATTTGGTTTCTTTATCTGCCTACACATTCCATGTAACAGTGAACAAGTGAAGTCAATAGAGTAGTCTAAAGTAGAATATTATTTTATACATTGTATCGTAAGTGATTTTATAATTGTTCGTTCAACGTAAGTTCACCTGTAGCACTTACGTCTGTCGTCATGAAGGACCTCAAGTGGGAGCCGACCATCAGCTCCTCATCAAGAAGGCCCAGCAGAGGATGTACTTCCTGCGGCAGCTCAGGAAAGCCAAGCTGCAGTTCTACACGGCCATCCTCGAGTCCATCCTCACCTCCTCCTTCACCTCCTCCATCACCTCCTCCATCACCTCCTCCAGCACCTCCTCCATCACCTCCTCCATCACCTCCTCCATCACCTCCTCCATCACCGTGTGGTTCACTGGAGCCACAGTCAGGGACAAACAGAGACTACAGTGCATTGTGCGCTCTGCAGAGGAAGTGATCGGCCGCAGCCTTCCATCGCTGCAGGACCTGTACGTCGCCCGAGCTCGAGGCCGGGCTGGTCGTATCACAGCCGACCCCTCTCACCTGCACATGGACTATTCCAACCACTCCCCTCTCACCTGCACATGGACTATTCCAACCACTCCCCTCTCACCTGCACATGGACTATTCCAACCACTCCCCTCTCACCTGCACATGGACTATTCCAACCATTCCCCTCTCACCCTGCACATGGACTATTCCAACCACTCCCCTCTCACCTGCACATGGACTATTCCAACCACTCCCCTCAGGCAGGAGGCTGCGGTCCATCAGGACTAGAACCTCCCGCCACAAGAACAGTTTCTTCCCCTCTGCTGTTGGACTCTTGAACACTTCTTAACCTGTCCCCCCGCCCTTTATAAAGTCACTTTACTGCCCATCATATGTCACTTTACTTCACTGTACTGCTGTCACCTTACATTGTGTGCACCATGTGCACTTGTTGTAAATAGTAACTGTAATTTATTCCTTAGAAGTGTTTATTTATTTTTTATTATCTCTCTGACTGTTGCACTGAGCCAAAGCAATTTCCAAGTCTGTGACTTCCTGTTACTTATGTGGCAATAAAAATGATTCTGATTCATTCATTCATTCATTTTCAAGCCCTTTATTGTCTATTTCTGGGTCAGTGGGGTGGCAATGAGAACTGCCACCCAATGCTCATAGCACCAGTCCCTCGCTGATCCTCTGCAGGGGGTGAGTCCACAGGAAGATGGCTGCTCTGTCAGTGGTGAAACAGCCTTGATCTTTCAGCGGGGGCTTCAGGCAACGTGGGGTTAAGTGTCTTGCCCAAGGACACAACGGCAGTAGACATCAGTGGGAGCAGTTGGAGTAGGTCCCATGGTGGGAATCGAACTCTCAACCTCCAGGCTCAAAGGCCATTGCTCTACCAACTGAGCTACTGTCGCCCCTGATTCTGATCAACCCATTTGAAATTTTACCTGTGCTTACACATTTCAGAAGTACAAATGCATAGTATCATCAATACTATGCATTTGGTCGCAGTATTGGTAATACTGCGACCAAATGCATATTTCCCATATACAAATTATTAAATGCTGCTTGTTCTTCTCCATTGCTCAAACAACTGGGAAGTACTTCCAGTCACATCTTCATAGTTTTCTATTTGGGAATGGACTATGGTTTCGGTAAATCTGTCAACATGGTTCTAATGCAGATGTAAATTGGTCTCTAAAGACTGGTCTGTATTTCACAGGCCTGAAATACATTAATATTTGCACAGCACGAGAAGGACCTTTATAGTTCACTCAATTGCTGGAAATTGTCATACCTTTTTTCACAATTCACCACTTTCACATTTTATTACAATTTGCCAAATATCAGAAGGGTAAATCTAACCCAGTGTGGATGACGCTTTCCACATTTCCACAATTTGAAGAAGTAAAATTAAATAAGTATAATTTATATTTGTCCTTCATTTAGGGCTGTGCAAGCCATGCTGTTCTTATGCTGACTTTCTTAAATAAAACATAATAACTTGAAGAGCACTCAAAGCACACAGCGCTGGCTGCCGAGGCTCAAAAAGTTAATTCTACTCCAAAAAAGCAATGGAAAAATTCCTTTGCCTGTGGCCGGTGTCCTATTCGGTTGCTTGGACTCAGATTTGTCTTTTTATTTTATTTTTTATTTATGTTTTGTATAATTTTTAATAACACAAAAAACATCCTTGAGATGGTTCACACCAGTTGGCCTATAACCATTCCAAACATGTTTTCATTCTCCCACACGAAGATCACCTGTGGCACAAACATTCATGGTTAAAGCTTTTTGCTATCCCTGTCCAAATGTAACTCTGTGGCGGGAGCTGCCAGAATCCTCATCCAGGAAGTGTGCAGTGGTGGGGGAAGGCCATTTCCTGGGAGCTTAAGCAGACTGCTAATAGTGCTGCAGCTAAAGCCTAACAATACCATGCTCTGGTCTGTAGAGCTTAGGTGAGGACGTGGGTGTGTTTGTTATATTCAGGCTGCCATCTGTCCCTGCAAATGCTTCTCAAAAAGCGGACTTGACACAGTGGTGAGTAGGGAAATTGTAATGCTTGAAGGATTGCAGAAAAGGGCAGGATTCCGTTTACCTCCTGTAAGATCTAGATTCTAGCCCATGCCAGGTACGTTTTCACTTTCCTTTAAAGCACCACCTGCATGGGTCCATAGAAATGACAAGATTGAGTGACTTTGACATATACTGTGAATGCCATACTGTAAGATAAAATAGCAAATGGAACCAACAGAAGCCCAGCTCATAAATACCATCTCATGTGGTTATGTGATTAACAGTAAGTTTGTCTTTGAGTAAGTTATGGGAAGATTTGGGCAAAATGTGCGCAATGGCCCAGTGAAGAACTGATTACATTTTGGAATAGGGCCAAATCACCAGTCTGGATGCTGGAAGTTTTCTTATGTTGTAACCCATAACTTGTACATGGAATTAACTTATACTTTAATTTGACGTATGCATAATGGCACCTGTTCATTGTCTTCGGCATCAGATTACAAAAGGGCACGTGGAGAACCGAACAGAGGAACAAGAATAGGTGTAGGATGAAGCTGGCCCAGGAAGACTGGCATGTGGAGCTGGGGAGGACGGAGCTGGAACACCCATGTAGATAAAATGTTTTAAGGAAGGCAAGGCAAGTTTATTTATATAGCACAATTCATACACAAGGCAATTCAAAGTGCTGAACAGAACAAGAAAGCATTAAAATCATAAATAATCACAGTACATTAAAAAAAAAAAAAAAAAAAGATAAAAATATAAAATCCCTCAGTTGTATGCCTGTAGAGGAGGCCTGTCTCACATCTTCAGGAAGACTGTTCCAGATTTTAGCAGCATGAATCTGAAAAGCAGCCTCCCCATGTTTAGTTCTGACTCTGGGCACTAACAGGAGTCCAGTCCCTGTGCTCCTCAGAGTCCGGGCTGGTTCATATGGGAGTAACATGTCACTAATATATTTTGGTGCGAGGCCATGGAGAGACTTGTACACAAGCAGAGCTGTTTTAAAGTCTATTCTCTGAGCCACAGGAAGCCAGTGCAGGGACCTGAGGACCGGACTAATGTGGTCGTACTTCCTGGTTCTAGTCAGGACTCGAGCTGCTGCATTTTGAATGTACTGCAGCTGTTTTACAGCCTGTTTGGACAGACCTGTGAGCAGGCCATTGCAGTAGTCTAACCTACTGGAGACAAATGCATGGATAAGAATCTCCAAGTCTGCTTTAGACACTATGTTTTTGATCCTGGCAATGTTTTTTAGATGGTAAAAAGCTGCTGATGTTACTGATTTGATGTGGCTATTAAAATTTAAGTCTGAGTCCAGTATTACCCCTAGATTTCTGACCTTGTTTGAAGGTTTTAGTGAGAGAGACTGTAGATGACAGATGACGCTCTCTCTTTGTTTCTGGGGACCAAAGACAATCATTTCAGTTTTGTCTGCGTTTAGCTGAAGGAAGTTGTTTTGCATCCACTCACTGATCTGTTGGATACAGTGAAGGAGTGAGTCCACTGGTCCATGTTCTCCTGCAGTCAGTGAGACATAGATCTGAGTGTCGTCTGCATAGTTGTGATAGGACACTTTGTTTCTGCGTATTAACTGACCTAACGGCAGCATGTAGAGATTGAACAGAAGAGGTCCCAGGATCGACCCCTGTGGGACTCCACAGGTCAGGGCCATATGATCTGAGACACAGTCTCCAATCTCCACAAAGTACTTCCTGTCTTCAAGGTAAGACCCAAACCAACTTAGGGCGGTGCCAGCGACGCCAACCCAGTCCTCTAGTCTCTGTAAGAGGATCTCATGGTCGACGGTGTCAAAGGCAGCACTCAGATCTAACAAGATTAAGACTGAGACTTTGCCTGCGTCAATGTTCAGCCGGATATCGTTTGTAACCTTAACGAGAGCAGTCTCAGTGCTGTGGTGGGGTCTAAAGCCGGACTGAAACATATCAAATGAGTTGTTAATTATAAGAAATCTAGTAAGCTGTAGGTAGACAACTTTTTCAAGGACTTTCCCCATAAATGGCAGATTTGAGATGGGACGATAGTTGTTAAGTACCGTAGCATCGAGACTGCTCTTTTTTAGCAGGGGCCTGATGACTGCAGTTTTCAGGGCCTTTGGGAATATTCCAGAATGAAGGGACATGTTTACTATCTGTGTGAGTGAAGGTAACAGACTGCTCAGAACAGACTTCAGAAATCTAGTGGGTAGTACATCCAGGCTGCATGTGGAGGAGCTCAAACTGGAGATTATTTCTTGGACATTTTTATCATCTACAGGTGCAAAGTAAGTTAGCTCAGAGAGCCTTTCTGGCTGTTGGATTGTTATCTGTGGATTGGAGACAATGGCGTTTTTGATGCCTTGAACCTTGTCATTGAAAAAGTGTGCAAACTCATTGCATTTATGTTTGGAAGTTAGCTCTAATGGCATCTGAACAGGGGGGTTTGTTAATCTATTAACTGTTGAAAACATAACACGCAGATTGTTACTGCAGCCTTCAATCATTTCAGAAAAATACCTTTCTCTCGTACTACGTAGCACCCGGTTAAACTCGCACAACTTATCTTTGAAGATCTTGTAATCAACCTGGAGGTTGGACTTGCGCCACTTCCGCTCGGCCCTCCGGCACTTTCTCTTCAGTGCTCTGACCGAGTCTGCTTTAGCCCACGGCGCCTTCTGCTTATTTTTCACTATTTTAACCTTCACAGGGGCAACGGTATCCAGAACATTCAAAACACTAGAGGTGACAGAGTTAAACAGTTCATCTACAGTAGAATACGATGCATTTTCAAAGTTTATCATTCCCATAAATAGTTCACTCGTATTTTCATTTATGTGTCTTCTTCGAACAGTTGCAGAGTCCACTGGTGGTTTGTTAGTGAAACACATGTCAAAAAATAAACAGAAATGATCCGAAAGAGCAACATCGACCACGCTTATATTTGAAATATTCACCCCCTTTGTAACTAACAGGTCTAGAGTGTGCCCTCTGCTGTGGGTGGGGCCACTCACATGCTGAGTGAGACCAAAGGTATCAAGTAAAGAACTCAGCGCTTTTGCATTTCTGTCATCAACATTATCCACATGAATATTAAAATCACCTGTAATAACTAAACTATCAAAATCTGTGCATACAACTGAAAGCAACTCGGTAAAATTATCAATAAAACTGTGACATGACTGCGGTGGCTTGTATAGGACTATGAAGAGTATTGGAGGAGATTGCTTTTGTTGTATTTTAAAAGACACATATTCAAAAGACGGAAACTTCCCAAGAGACATTCTATGGGAGACAAAGTGGTCTCTGAAAATGGCAGCTAAGCCTCCTCCTTTTTTGTTTTCCCGTATTTCAGATTCAAACTTGAAATTTGGTGGTGATGCTTCTATTAAAACTGCATTTCCTGTATTTTGGTCAAGCCATGTTTCAGCCATGAACATAAGATCAAGATTATAAGAACAAATAAAATTATTGATTAAAAAAGACTTGTTAGAAAGAGATCTGACATTTAGCATAGCAAGTTTCAAAGTTTCAGTATCAGCGGTTGTGGTCGGCTCATTCTTACACGGAACAAGAATTAGATTTTCCAGATTAGACTGATTAACTCCAGATGTCTTTCTGTAATGTATTCTTTGTGTTATCACTAAGGGAATGGCACAGGTGGCTTCATGACAGGGCCCCAGCCGGGTCTCTCCTCTAACTAGACTGCCAGTGGCTGCGAAGCAGAGACCCTGTGCATCCTAGGGAGAGGAGGGAGGAGGATGGAGAGGTGGGTGGTTCTTGGGTGTTGGACGAGGGGGGGTTGAAGGTGGATGGGTGTTAGGGGAGGGGCAGGAGTTGGGAGATAGACGAGGGGGGAGTGGAGGTGGAGGGGTTCTTGGTGATGGGAAACGAGGGGGGGGTGGGGGTGGGGCTGGAATGGTTTTGGGGTTAGGGGAGGGACCTGTGGATTTTGCGGGTGAATTTGAGTTAGAATTTGAGGGACGGGTGGATTTTGTGGGAGAATTTGAGTTGGACGCCCTAGGTGGCTTTGGAGGTACGTATGGGGAGAAGTTATGAATGTTAGATAGGACTCTTGATCTGGCTACAGTGGGTGTGAGAGGAATATTCTTCATCGCCGATCTTATCATGCCTGTAGAGTGTTCCGGTAAATCCAATAGTGATGGAAAACACAGGGAAAGGTCGTCCTCATGTTCCTTAGATGGAGTGGATGTAGCGGGGGGGACCCAAACCGGGTCCATGGAAGGTGATGAGGGAGTCTTTGGTGGAGACGGAGGTGGTTGAGAGGCCCCCAGTGCAGGCCTGACTGTAGCCTGGAGCAATGGGGGGGGCTTCACGGGAGCTGTAGGTGGGGAACTGTGCCTCCAGGTGAAGGTCTACGCTATCGTTCTATTCTAATTCTTATTGTATCTGCACTGGTTTACTTTTGGTACTTTGTGTACTCTGGGTGATCCTCTAACATCTGTTGCTTTCCAAACCTACTGGGATGTTGATTATTTCACGTGAACATCGTGAGTTCTGACCTCAGTGTTCCAGCTGAATTTATATACAGTATAAATAATTTGACGTAATAAGATCAATGACTATGTGCTTTAATGTGATTTATGTCATGCTTCAGACCGCAGGCTCAAGACCAGGGCAAAAGAAGGACTTTTCACAGTGACAGTGAAATGCATAACTCATCAAATACGTTTTTGCAACCTCAGTAATTATCCGCTCATATGAAACTTGGGAAAACACACCTAACCAGTGGCGGCCGGCCAATAGAGGGCGCTAGGGCGCCGCCCCACCACTCACAACTTGCCATGTTACCTTGAATAAAACGTTAAAAAAAATAATAACATTAAAATATTTCGAAATTTATGTGTGTTTTATTTCAGATGTGGAAGAAATACTTTATAGTTTATGCTGAGTTGGATTGATTAAGCTCATCAGCGTTGTCTGTGTCGGACTGAGGACGTATTTCCGCCTCAGGGCGCAAAAGATTGCGCCCTGAGGCGCGCCCTGTACTGTCACTGTCTGTGACGTCCGTTTACAGTGATTGACAAGTCAAGCTGTGGGAGTTTGAGACGAACGTAAAGAGACGCAAAATGGAGAACGAGAAAAAGAATAATTCAGT